TCTTTCCCTGTATCTGGCATCTTTCATGTATCCATTTTATAACTATCCTCTGAAAAGACTGGTTTTCCTTTTCACACTCATCAAAAAAAAAAAAAAAAACTATTTTCATCAGATACTAAGAGTTGCCTCTCTTTTCTTCACTCACAACAGGTCTGTGATTTACTGTTCTCTGCATGTTCCCATCTGGCCATCTGTGTACTGAAGAAAACAAGGATTCATTACACATTTGGAGATGTGTGCATATACAAAAAAAAAAAAAAAAGTTCTAGCTCTTTCCAGATTTCTCTGCTGTGATAATTAAAAGAGTTAATGTACTATAGTAAAATATGGTATAGGATGTGATCAGATTTGAATACTTCTACCATGTTCTCTTCATCACATATGGGGGTATAAAAGGTTTCCTATCTGTCGGTCACTGTGAGTTATGTCGTGACAACATTTGGGGTTTAACTTTGGAGCCCAATCATCTCAGAGTTTAAGAGAAAACGCCAATGAAAATTGTCCAGTGGATTTTGCATGCTGAATCACTCCCTGTGCACAAGGGTATATAAGGTGACAGCGTACATTCACTCATTAGATTTTTGCTTCAGAGCCGACTGGTTTATGTGTATTACATTTCCACAAAGCACGTCATCTTTGTGTTGGAGAAAGGAGCTCTTCTGGTTGGTGTCACGGTGCAAACAGCGGTATCCCTTCAAGCGAGCAATTCCCCTGGGCACTTCAACTAAGAGAGCAGTTTCCCTTTTTCAAAATGCCATTTTGTCCGTGTCCTTCTGGATGCTGTCGTTTCCTGTCAAGGGATTGAAATTAACTTTTTCACTCACCAGCTAATTTGGCTACTAAATTTTTAAATTACTGGCCATTCAAAACTTCTACTAGACAAAAAAAATAAACAAACACAGAAATATACCAACAGCTTGAGGCTGTCTACACTGGACATGACAAAGCGATCGTTGTGTCAGTACTAGGGGTGTGCGATATTGATAATAAATAAATAATAATATCTCAATATTTTCTGGGATTTTATCGATAAAGATAATTAGACGATATTTTACTGAGTGTGTTATTGTGCTGATATCCTAAGGACTGCCGTGGACAGCTGACTCCTAAAGTTTTTGATATTCTTCATATTATGTGTGGCGGTCAGTTCACAGCAGTGACATAAATTAATCTTTTCCAATAAGTTTAAATTGATTTTTACCTTTAATGGGCATTTTTACCTTTATGAAGCCATTTTTTTCTAAAAGTGTGCATCATCTTTTGAGTCAAATTCTTACATTTAATCAGATAATAATAATAATAATAATAATAATAATACATTTAGGCTGTTACTAAACAAATTAAATCAGTATCAAGAAAATGAATCTTTGCAGAAGTTGCATATGAAGTGGCATTTAGATGTATTTACACATGTTAATTCAGCTTAGAGGGACATGGAATGCTTTAACCTGCAGTTACAAATGCATAAATAATGTTTTGATATTTTAAACATGAAATGTTGAATACTGATATTTGAAATTATTTACAAAATGAAAAGATACTTTAAATGTGAAATTAAAATCGCCAGTAGGTGGCAGCAAGTCACTGTTAATAGGTGATTCATTGCGATTGAACCAAATCATTTTAAACGGTTGATTCATTCAGGAACTAAACACCATCATGTTGCTCAGAGACGCAAAACAGTGCTGTGGCTGTGTTTGGAATGTTTTTGTTGGCGAAATAGAGCAAAAACAGGAAATATGGTGTCTAAAATGTAGATCTCCTGATATTGACTTATTGTTTATTGAACTGTTGCATACAATCAATATCACATTTGTAACAATGCTGATTTTTTAAAGAAAAAACGTCACTCTTCATGTGATATTGATTAACTATATGAATTGATATAAATATATACATTTTCTGCTCCCTTATCTTGAATTGTGTGATCATTCTTAATGCATATTAATAGACTGAATCATGACGTGAAAGAACGCAGTCTAAATGCGCACACGCACTAAGTTAGTCTAACCAGACTTCATCACGTCGCATATGTGTGCACTCTGTAGGTGGGTTTTGTTTGTTTTTTTCAATATATTCGATAATGTCATGATATCTCACGAGTTCAGTATTTGCACTAAACCTGTGCGGATTTGGCTTGCATAAACTTCACCCAGAAATTAATGAGTGAACATAACTTACAAAAAGTAACCTGTAACCTCTGTTGATGGCCATGATCTCTGTCTTCAGTGTCTGGGCCTTCAGCATGCTGAAGCGGCGCTCGTGAATGAGTCATGCGTCTATTGTGGGAGTATGAACATGGCATTGCTGCGATCGTGTCTCTCTCTCCTCAAGGGCAGTGGAGCAGACCCCTCTGTCACTACCCGTCCCGGTTTCTCTGCCACGAACAGAGGACCGCCGGTTAGTGCTCTGGGAGATTTGAGGGTGACAGTGAGAGCTTCTCCGCCGGGCCACGCCCCATGGACCTCTCACTCCTCCCGCAGCACATGTCCTGTGCGGCCGCCGGATGATTCTGCTGGTAGACACTACCACTCAGGCTAGAGCTCTCTCTACGAGGCAAGCCTATGCTTTGAAGTGGAGTCTGTTCACGAACTGGTGTTCTTCTCACCGAGAAGACCCTAGGAGATGCTCGATTAGAGTTTATTTCCTGCAAGAAAGGTTGGAGCGTAGGCTGTCACCCTCCACCTTGAAAGTGTATGTTGCTGCTATCGTAGCACATCACGATGCAGTGGACAGCCAGTTCCTGGGAAAGCATGACCTGATCGTTAGGTTCCTGAGGGGTGCCAGAAGGTTGAATCCTCCTAGGACACCCCTGATACCCTCCTGGGATCTCCCTGTCGTCCTGGCTGGACTTCAGAGGGGTCCCTTTGAGCCACTTGATTCAGTTGAGCTGAAGTTCCTGGCTCTTGATCGCGTTCACTTCCATCAAGAGGGTCGGGGACCTCCAAGCATTTTTGGTAAGTGAAGAGTGCCTTGAGTTTGGGCCGGCCTACTCTCACGTTGTCCTGATACCCTGGCCTGAATACGTGCCCAAGGTTCCCACCACTCCCTTCCGAGATCAGGTGGTGAACCTGCAAGCGCTGCCCCTGGAGGAGGCAGATCCAGCCTTGGCATTGCTGTGTCCCGTAAGAGCATTACGCATATACGTGGACCGCACCCAGAGCTTCAGAAGCTCTGAGCAGCTCCTTGTCTGCTTTGGAGGTCAGCAGAAAGGTCTTCAAGCAGAGGTTGGCCCACTGGATAGTGAATGCCATCACCTTGGCGTGCCAATCCCAAGGCGAGCCGTGCCCCCTGGGGTTGAGAGCCCACTCCACTCGGAGTGTTGCCTCCTCCTGGGCGCTGGCGCACGGCGCCTCTCTGGCGGACATCAGAATCAGAATCAGAATCAGAATGAGCTTTATTGCCAGGTATGTTTACACATATGAGGAATTTGTTTTCGTGACAGAAGCTTCCACAGTGTAACAGAATGACAGTGACAGAACAAAAAACACAGGTAATAAAAAATAAAAAATAGAACAAGTAAATAAGGAATAAAAATATATAAATCGACAATTGTATGTGCAGGTATATTACAATAGACAGTTTTGTATGTACAGGTACTGTATATTATGTGCAAATTTGAGGTGTAGACTGAGTATGAGTGTTAGATAAATAAGTGTATGAGTGTATAAATAGTGTATGTTCCACAGTTATTGTTAAGTGTTCATGAGATGGATTGCCTGAGGGAAGAAACTGTTCCTGTGTCTGGTCGTTCTGGTGCTCAGTGCTCTGTAGCGTCGACCAGATGGCAACAGTTCAAAGAGGGAGTGTGCTGGATGTGAGGGGTCCAGAGTGATTCTGCATCTGCCGAGCTCCGGGCTGGGTGACACCTAATACTTTCACGAGGTTTTACAACCTTCGTGTAGACTCGGTTTCTTCCCGTGTGTTGGGTAACAGGTCATTGGTGGGAAGAACTGGCTTGGTGTCCCGCTTGCTGCGTCATTCCCCCTCACACGGGGATGCGAGCGCCTTTCTTCTCCCAGTAGAGTTCCCCGGTTGGCGAACCCTGGTCGAGCATCATCCAGCACCCTCAGCAGTTAGATTTGGCGGAGCAGTCTGACGCCAGGCCCCGTACTGGTATTAGCATGCCCGAAGTCCTGGTCAGCCCCTGTACTGGGCTAGGTGTCCATATGGGTTGATTCCCAACGGGTAATTCCATATGTGTATTCTTCCACGGAAAGGTTTCCCGCTCGGTGAACCCGTGTCTTCCCTTGACAGACCCACGCTGTCAGTCTCTTCTGGCAGTTGTTCCATCCCTACTCTAAGGTAGGACCTGCCTCAGAGACCCATTCCATATGTAGTACTGCCCCCTGGGTTGGTCCATATCAGTATCTCCACATGTCACCTCCCTACGGGTAGGACCTTTTCCTTAAGGCTCGTTTCCCCATCGTTCTGCCAGGCTGAAATAACAAATAGGGAAGATTTGAAAATATCTTTCACTGAAGGTTGAAATCCCTTCCAAAAACTTTTTTGTGGACAGAACAGAAGCATGGCATTCTCCAGCTGCGATGTACGCACCGCACCGTTGGTCCCCTTCAGTACCAAGGTCAGTGAATTTGCGCTGGGGCTTTGGGAAGGTTACGACCTTAGCGTAGCTTTTGTCTTAACACACTACGGCTTGTCAACATTTGCAGCGCCACAGGGTTGTGACGGTGTTCAGGTTGTGGCGTTTTCCATAGACCCCTAATGTCATCACGACATAACTCGCAGTGACCGACAGATAGGGAAAGTCTCGGTTACGTACGTAACCCTTGTTCCCTGATGGAGGGAACGGAGACATTATGTCCCCATGCCACAACCTTGAACCGCT